TAATCCACAAACTCAGTTTGGAATCTCCTTTGGGAAAGTGTTTCATTCATTAATGATTAATAGAGCTTCTTAAGTGACAGAATATTCACAAGGAAGTTTTTACTAAATGAAATATTGATTTAGTCCTTGACTAGGAGGAGCCCAGCTGGAAAAACTAATATTGAGATCTCACAGTATTCTTATACTTCATTTCCAACATGAATCAACTTGTTACAGCACTTTCTAACACATTCATCATAGACTTTTATAAGGCTACACTTGAACTTAAGGCCAATCCATGCGTTACTGACTTACACAGATCTGAGAACTGTTGCTTAAAAAAAAAAATTTAAAGACAAGATCTTTAAAATAAAACACTAACTCCAATCTGGATATTTATTGTATAAATAACAAATTTCAAGATATTGTCATACTGTTGAAGATCCAAGCAAACTAAATTTTTACATCCAAAAGAGGTTAAAAATATTCTGACTAAAATAAACTTTTGGGAATTTTTTTTATATAAAGGTGATGAATCTGACATCAAAATATTCCAAAGTAAAAATTCAAGCCCTGTTGAGCCAAATTCTCTAGAATTATTGTCTGTAGCTAAAATATTGAACTTAATGGAATCTATATCAATAGCCATGTCCAAAATATACTATTTGATGATAAAATTATCATTTTCCCCCTTGCTGATCTATTGTCAGTTAGGATCTGAACAACTTCCACATAATGCCAGTTGTAATACCTGGAAACAAACCTAATGTCCCCTGTCATCTATGAAATTATTTATTTTTACTTATTTTGGTTGTCTGGAGAATAAACACCTATTATATTAAGTAAAATATTTGTGGTAAAATATTGATCTGTCCATTAATCTAATAAAGCAAATTCTTATATTCTTGCCTCTAGGATTATATTAGATTATTTGGTGAAAATAGATGTTCATCTTGTCGTCAATTATTTCTGAATAGAAAGCTGGTTTCTCTATATATTTGATATGTACTTTCTAATTTTAGTGTTACAGGAATACTTTTCTAGGAAAATTTTATACCATTTATGTAAAACCAATGGCAACGTTAACCCATGAATAGATCGCTGGAATATAACTGCCCAGGCCCACAATATCTCTTATTTTGGCAAATTCTTCTGCCATCGTTGATATATAGGGCATGCTATAAATTTCCAAGTGACATATATTTTTCTGAAAATTTAAGACAATTTGCAAATGATAAGAATTTTAGAGTTTTTAAAGGTTTTTAAACCTGAGCATCTCTGATTTTAGTATAATGTGTCATAGCCTATTTTTCTTCCCAATGCAGTCGTTCTTATCCTTTAAGATCACAAGAAAGGCTCTATTTTAAAAACACGGATTTCTCTGAACCCACCAGTAGAGATCTTTGGTGTAGCTGAAGACCGTATTTTAAAAAGCATCTCAGGTACCACTGATGGAATCATTCAAGGACAATCTTTTCAGAACCATCACCCTGCGAGGGTGATCCTTGAATTCCCATTGCAATAGATTTAGAGAGTAACTAAGATAAAGGATGCATATGTTCCCTGTGGTTCTCATGTTAGCAGCATGAGTATTGCCTTCCTTTTGTTGACACCTCCTCATTTAACCAAAATGAGACTGAAAGATGGCAGCTCAAGAGTATGTCATAGGTGCTATTGCACCTGCAATACTGCTGTGGGTCTGGGATCCAGGTGAAATGTTTTGTACATCCAATGGCTTGCCGTTTTTGTTTAACCAGAAATGATTATACTCTAGAAGAAAAGAAAAATAAGTTTTACCTAACTTCTAAGGAATCCGACTTATAATAAGAAAGTCTGCTTTATTCATTTTCCTTATAAGATGTACTTATTTCAAAGTCTACAGCCTGTCAGTGGTACACCTCATTTCTCCTGCTGGTCAGGTCCACTCTAGACACCAAGGTATGAGATAGAAATTTGCTTGCTACCCAGAGAATTAGAACTGTTGGTTATTCTCAAGGGCGATTTTCATCAAGTTATTGAAGGCTTGTATTTACTCATCTATAATTTAGGAAATTTAATCCAAAGAAACAGGATCAGTAATAGAATTAGAGCATCTGCTTTTTTAACTTGGATGAACACCAATACAGTCTTAACTTTCAACATCCTTTATTATCACATCTCAAAAGCATCATTATTTCATACCTGACAGTATATAATTATTACTGAATAAGTTATTTTGACATTACAAAGAATACAGTGTAGCTTTCTTAGTAATGTAATAAACAATTTGGTAGGGTGGAATACAGATAGTTAATCTCTTCACTGTATTTTGATTATTACCAGCCTCAATTTCAGAGAGTAACCTTTCCTTGCTTTGATGACTGCCTCAGCCAAAGATTTCATGTTATATTTAATGTCATACCTCTGTGGTGAATACCTCTGATTGCCTCATCACCTGTGATGAATAGTTATTATCTTAATATAACATCCTGCTTTTGAACCATAACTTAAAATGAATCCAACCAGAAACATGATATATACCATTTATTTAACCCTTTGTAGTAAATGTAGTAGGTAGTTTATGAGTTGGCAAACATTGCTAGCTTCAAGACTATGAAAAAGGTTCAAGATATATGGACCCAAATCTTCTTAATTACCTTAAACTTTTTATTAACAAAGCCTAATACTTTTTACCTGCTTCTTAACATTAGAGTTCACTCTTGGTGTTCTACATTCTATAGGTTTTGAGGAATGTGTAATGATATGTATCCACATGTAGTATTATACAGAATAGTTTCACTGCCCTAAAGATCCTCTATGCTTCGCCTATTCATCCCTCTCTCTGCCTGAACCCTTGGCGACCGTTGATCTTTGTGTCTCTATAGTTTCACTTTTCTCCAGAATGTAACATCGTTGGAATCATATAGTACATAGTCTTTTCAGACTGGTTTCTTTCACTTAGTAACACTACATTTAAGGTTCCTTCATGTCTGTTCATGGCTTAAGAGCTCATTTCTTTTTAATGTTAAGTAATATTCCATTGTTCAGATGTATCGCAGTTTGTTTATTCATTTACCAAAGGGCATCTTGGAGGCTTTCAACTTTTGGCAAGTACAAATAAAGTTGCTATAAACATCTGTGTGCAGTCTTTTGTGCAGACATAGTTTTAATTTGTTTGGGTAAATACCAAGGAGTCTGATTGCTGGATCAAGTGGTAAAATATGTTTAGTTTTGTAAGAAACCACCAAGCTGTCTTCCAAAGTGGCTGTATCATTTTGTATTTCCACCAGCACTTAATGAGAATTATTGTTTCTCCACATGTTCACCAGTGTTTGGTGTTATCAGTGCTTTGAATTTGGGCCGTTCTAATAGGTAGGTGGTGGAATCTCATTGTTGTTTTAATTTGCAATTCCCTAATGACATATGATATTGAATGTATTTCATATGCTTATTTGCCATCTTTCTATCTTCTTTGGGGAGATGTCTTTTAAGGTCTTTGGCTCATTTTTTAATCAGGACATTCATTTTCTTATTGTTTAGTTTTTAAGAGTTCTTTGTATAATTTGGATAACAGTCTTTTATCAGATGTGTCTTTGGCAAATATTTTCTTTCAGTGTATGCCTTATCATCTCATTCTCTTGACAGTGTCTTTCTCAGAGCAGAAATTTTTTTATTTTAATGAAGTCCAGCTTATCAATTATTTCTTTCATGGATTGTCTTTGGTGTTGTATCTAAAAAGCCATCACTATAATCAAGGTCTAGATTTTCTCCTATGTTATCTTCTAGGAGTTTTAGCGACTTGCATTTTACTTTTAGATCTGTGATCCATTTTGCGTTAATTTTTGTGGATGGTATAAGGTCTGTGTCCAGATTCATCTTTTTGCATTTGGATGGTCCAGTTATTCCACCTTTTATCTTTTCTCCGTTGTATTTCATTTGCTCCTTTGTCAAAGATCAGTTTACTGTATTTGTGTAGGTCTATTTCTTTTGCCAATACCATGCTGTCTTGATTACGGTAGCTTCATAGTTAATCTTGAAGTCAGGTGGTATTAGTCCTCCATCTTTGTTCTTCTCCTTCAATATTGAGTTGGCTTTTCTGGGTCTTTTACCTCTTCATATAAACTTTAGAGTCAGTTTGTTAATATCCACAAAATATCTTGCTGATATAGATCAAGTTGGGAAGAACTGATTTCTTGACAATATTGAATCTTCTTACCCATGAAAATGTCTTCATGGAACATCCTTCCATTTGTTCAGTCTTTTTTGATATCTTTGGTCAGAGTTTTGTAGTTTTCCTCATAGCAACTGTTAATTTTTAACTAAAGAGTTTTACTCATTCAGGAAGTCCATTTTGATTCTGTGACCATCAGTATAGCCTTTTGAAAGAGAACTGCTCTCTCGTTATGAAAGGCTTGGGAATTACTTCTAAATCGCCAGGGTTTGTGGACAGCTCTTGCTGTCTGACCCAGTTTTTCACAGCATTTGTCTTTTAAATTGATATAGACTTTGGCTCACATCTTGACGATTCTCAATAATTATAATTATTAGCAAAATTCAAGGAAAAATATCATAATTTTAGATTTTTCCACATCATGAAAAACAGGGTAATCTCACCCCTCTTGTTTTAGTCTTACTCTCGCTATATTTTACTAAGAGAAACAGTCAGAATTCATGTCTATTTCTGAAATAAACAGCAACTTTTAGTAAGATTATTTCAATTATCTTCTTTTTAAAGGAGTATATCTGATATTATTCTTCTCATAATGCAGCCTTTTATTTATCCCAGACCAAGTTGCAACTGCTTGAATTTTCCATTTGCGTTTCAGAAGAAAATCATTAAATTTATGTCCAGAACTCTAAAACTTATTTTGTACATGACGTGATACCGTACATTTCTTTAACAAATGTAATAGTGTCATTTTCTCTACAAAATCAAAAGCAGTTTCTGAGATATACTCTGTCCTTAAGTAATAGACATATGGTTATTTTATATATAAACTCTCCTTTTCCATATTATTAATTTTTTTTCTTGTTTTCAATAGGCATTCTCTACTTAAAATGTTACCTGCTCTAAGAATCCTCAATGGTGAAATGCTAAACTCTTATTTGGAAAGCCCCACTGAAGAACACTGTCAACTAGAATTAGGACATTTCCTGGTACTTTGTCAGTCCCAGATTAGAGAACTCAATTTATTAACTGAAAACTATATTACTGGAAAAGGGTAAGACTGTTATCGTCCCCTTATCATAATGAAAATATGTAATGCAATTTATATATGTTTAAAAAATATTCTGATTACTACAATCATACTTTTTTAGATTAGAACAATGTGTTTTAGGGATATTCTCCCTTTAGAAAAACTTCTGGGCATCATCTTTTTATTGTTTGAAATATATTAATATGTATTTTCAACATAAGTAGAAAGTTAAAATATTGCATAAAATAAATGAAAGCATGAAGATGGCTTCAAGACAAGATGCAAACATTCATTCATTCATTCAGTCATTCAATTATTCAGTCATAAATTTATTCAACAATTATTGTGGGCAAAACACACAATAAACTAAGTATTACACTTTACCCTCAAAGAATTCGCAGATTAGCATAAGAGAAAATTATATAAATAAACAGATACAAATAAAGCATGGCAAGTTATATAGTACATACAATATTTATTATATATAAAGTATCATATTACACATATGTTATATTTATATATTAAATTATTATGAGGGCCCAGTAGAGAAAAGCAGTCAACACATGCACACATTCAAAGGACAAAAGCTGAGAGTAGAGTCCTAAAAAATTATCAAAGAAAGGGGCCAGCCTGGTTGTGTAGTGGTTAAGTTCATGTGCTCCAGTTTGGCAGCCCAGGGTTTGCAGTTTCAGATGTTGGGCACAGACCTGTGCACCTCTCATCATGCCATGCTGTGGTGGGCGTCCCACACAAAATAAGAGAAGATTGGCACAGATGTTAACTCAGCAGCAATCTTCCCCAAGAAAAAAGAGGAAGATTGGCAACAGATGTTAGCTCAGGCCTTATGTTCCTCACCAAAAATAAATAAATAAATTACCAAAGAAAGAGAACTTCCCATTCCCCACCTCCAATTCTGAATGCATTACTATGAATCAATTACAATTGATGTTTCTGTAACTATATTTTCTAATTTGTATTGCTTCTGAAAATACAGATGAAAAAGGAAAATTATTTCATATTTCACTTATGATGACTTTGCATTATAACTGGAACAGTAATATGTGCTTCCAAATGTCTACACTTAATTACTGAATTACAAACTTAAATTATTGCTATTTGTGCTTTCATACATGCTCATCCTTTGTAAGAGTTAGTTTTTCTATTTAAATGTTTTTGAATATAGTGTATTCAGGTTATAAATAAATCTCATAGCTTTAAAAATAATTCCAATTAGGAGCCGGCCCCGTGGCTGAGTAGTTGAATTTGCATGCTCTGCTTGGGCAGCTAAGGATTTCTCTGGTTCAGATCCTGGGCGCAGACGTAGCACTGCTCATCAAGCCATGGTGAGGCGGTGTCCTACATAGCAGAATCAGAAGGACCTACAACTAGAATATACAACTATGTACTGGGGGGCTTTGGGGAGAAGAAGAAAAGAAAATTCAAATTGTTATAGATAGTGTTTACTTTCAACAATACTAAGGTTGTTTACATTTACCTCTTTGCAAATCTAAACTGCTATCTCCTTGTATATGTATGGTAATGAACAATTTTTTTATGTAAAGGTGACCCTTGACAACCCTCATGTTGAAATTTACATTTCTGAATTCCTTTGGACAATTTATCGTCATTGCAATTTAAGGTTTATTTTAGCATTGAAAATGGAAAATAGACTATATTTTATATGTTTAATCATAGATGCTACTGAATTCAACACATAACCATAAACATTTGACATCCTAATATTGAACTGAACCTCTTTTGCATTATTAGCCAACAAAATGAATGAAATACAAAATATCAAACATATATTGGATGGGCCTATCCTAATGTCTAATAATTAGTTTTGTAAACATAAGAACTGTCTAATTCTACATTTTAGGAAATAATTTTAACTTTCATTTCATTTGGCATGATTAAATGATTTTGTATTTATTTATATTCTGCATTGTTTCAGAAAAAATTGAAGGTAACTTGTGTCTGTATATTAAATATAGTCAGAAAATATAAATTTGAAGTAAAATTTAAAAACTAATAAAATGGAAATAAAGGAAGATAAATAAAATGTAGCCGTGAATAAGGCTCATACAGGTGCAAAGCCCTTTACATTTACAATTGAGAGCCTCAAATCTGACAAACCCGAAAGTTTAAGTAGACAAGTCCTAACCTCAATAAGATAGAAATCCAGCAATTTTTCGAGAGAATCACAGGCATTTATATCTTAAAATATTTTAATTCTCTTTGCAATTGATTCTTTTTTCAGAGAAAAATGGGAATAAAAACTTTCCCATAATATAAGTTCTTTGTTTAAAAGTCCAATATAAATATTTTGCATGGCAAGAGTCAATGTAGAAAGTACTTTCAACTTTGTTTCATAAATAACTTCTCCAAATTTAGGCAGCCATGATTTCTTGTGTTTATGGTAGTAAAAACATGGATTTTTCTCATTCATTTGTACCAAAAATGCCTTGAATAAAAATGGTCCTAAAACTTCCAGACATTTTTGTCTGGATTAACAGATTAAAATTAACTCAACAAATATTTTAAAATTTTGTTAGAAATGAGATCAATTTTTATATAAACAACCAGAAATAACTTTCTAATGAATGCAATAGTAAAGTTTAATGTTTATGTCAGGGTACACAGGGAAATTTTCAAAACCTCTACAAGTTTTAATATTTGCTGATATAATTCTTCCTATTAAATGTCCTTTATTATTTATTTGCTCAGAAATATACTCACCTTGGATGCAGCAGAAAATCTCTGCCATTATTTTAAGAAATTGATGGCACTTAGTAATGAATATCGATATGCACATGAACATGGAGATGTAAGTATCACCAAGAAAGATGAATCAGAAGCCCAGCAAAATCATCTGGCACCTACCAACAGCGATGGCATCCTGCAAAGTAGAATCCTCCACTCCTATGCAAATGAACAGAAACCAGACTCACCAGATATTTCTGAGAAACAAGTGGACTCTGGCCCTAGTCACTTCCCATCAACCAACCTCTCCTTATGTGAAGATACCAAGAAAAGAAATCAGGAAAAAGTAGAAGGCCAGAAAAGAGAAGACAGCAAAGCAGGCAGTATCCCCACCAAAAGAATACCATCTATGGAAGGAGTGATGACGAGGTCTTTGCTGAGGAACAACAAAAATATTGAAAATCATGAAAAAATGTAAGATTTAGAGATCATTTTTCTTTTAAAGTTGTATATTTATTATTTTTTATTATGGATAATCTTAGTCATTGTTACCAAATTATAGCTTGCTAAAGAATTTAAATCACTATTATATTTCATATTAATTCCCTTGATTTTGTTTTTATGATGTGCACAAATTATTAATTACAGTGTAGATTAATTTGGTTGAATTTTGGTAGATTCTGATTTAATTATCTAGTACTGTATAATTTCAAATGAGTAAATATGAAATTTTTTTCTGCCTTCTAATCTCTAACCAATTAAAATGAATTTTTAAGAAGAAATAAAATGCTACATTATTCTGAAAATACTATAAAGGATACTTTATGAATAATCAGGTATTTTATTTTTTAAAATATACCTTTTCAATTGCTATTTCTTTGCTTATTGACCTAGTAAACACTTAATAAGCAAGTATTTCATTACAGGTACTACAATTTCCTTTGGCATAAGAACTCTGTAAGGTAGGACAATGTTCTTTGAGATTAGTTACATAAAACCTCTTCCAACTATTAAACTCTAAAAGAGCTGATGGTTGGCTCTAATTGTTTGTTGAACAAGCAAAGATTGGTTTCTATTTTGGCCTGTCAACTTTTTCTGTTCTTTTTACTTTTGGCCTCAGTGTCAAGCCAACAAAATTAAAAATGATCAGATTCAACTTCTCTTGTAATAACTGGTACTGAACAGGGCAGAACACAAGTCGCAGTCGTTAATCTTGCCTTTTCCAGTCTTTGTTCCTTCAGGAGTTGTCAGAGTGAATCGTGATATCTTTTCTGGGAGCTATATTAAATAGTTAGATGTGCTGAAGCTAACATGTGTTTCCCGATGCAAAGTTTTAAAAAAGTTTATTGAAAGTGGCTTTAACATTTCCTGACTTATATTTTACCAATTTATTTAGTAGATTGCTTTTGCTCTGTAGAGGAGAAAAAATATCTTTTTCTTCTACCTTTCTAAGTTCTTTACTAGGTCCCCTGTTAGATTAATTAGGGATTAATACATAGATTAATAAGAGAAAAGCATTCAAATTTAATATAGGTTTTACATGACATGGGAGCCTTCAGAAGGAAATGAAGACCTGAAGAAATAGCATTTTTATATTAGGTTTGATGAAGAGTGGAAAGTTGTGGAAAAATATGGTAGGACAAAGGATATGAGCTAAGAGCGGTAAATTGGGGGAAACTTAGAAAGTCCTGTTCATTCAGATTCCTCTTGTCCTTCATCTTCAGGTAAGAATGCTTCCTTCCTTTGGGTATAGGGAGAGTACCTCTCACATGACTGTCTTGTGACCTGCTTCCAGGGAAGGTCAGAAAGTCCTTCCTGCACGTGTCTTTTCTGAAATGCCTTCAGCTCACAACACTATATGCCAGGGTACCATATTTTGGGGTAGCTTTATCTCCAAACCCTAGATGTTGCCTATTGAAATTTCGTATAAAAACATTTAGAACTTCTGTATCCATAATAAATAAAATAGCCAAATGATGATAATAAGGAAGGATGAAGAACTGAAAATATAAGACAAACCAAAGACCTAAAGAGTAAAGAGAAAATATATAGCCACTTGCTAAACCTTGCCATTCAGTGATTCAGGAAGATTCACTGTCAGTTGTGTAGGTGCTTCCTAAACCTGATTTGTGTATGTTCTTATGCTAAGGGCATTTTTGTCATTATGATTTTTACTAAAAAAAAGATGATGATGATGATGATGATAATGATAGTAATAATATAAGCTGTTTTTCTCAACAGAGAGAGCATCCTATATTCAGGAAGCCTAAAGTCAGCTTTTTAACCTGCTTTCAATGTAGTGAAGAGCAGGCCTTGTGTTAGTGTCACTGAGGAGAATATCCCTCATCTACATTTTTGTTTTCCCTTTGGAAATTTTGTTGATATTGGGCTGAGGAATTCAAGCACTCAATGACTGGTCAGCTTTAGAAGAAATTCACAACTACAGTCAGTGAAACTTGTATGTATCTATAGAGAAACATGACATACTGTCTCAGGTTAAATGTTTTTTCTTATGGGCCTTTCATTCCTTACCACTATACATTGCTAACAGATTTTCAGATTCTTTTCTTTATCAGAATACCTATTATAGTGCTTTCAAATTTCCTAACATATTTTTGTTCAAAAGATAAAGGAATGAATTGATGATTGAATAGCCAAACGTGAATTAATTTCATAGCAAAATTTACAAAGTTTTGTTTACCCTAGGGGGAGGAAATGATTTGTTGAAACATGATTATGTTTTCCAAGTATTGGGTGTATAAGTAGTTTATCTTAGGCCAGAAGTTTTATCCATTAACTTCAATTTTCTATTCATAACAAAATCAATCGAAGGCTTCTAGAGGATTTAGGTAAAATGATGATGATGATGATGACACCAGTAGTAATAACAAAAATAAAGCAAAATAACAGTAGAAAATGGTTACATCATTCCTTTCTAATATGGGGAAGGAGAAAATTTCACTGGGTTTGGCAATTATAAAATTACTGAAAACTGTTTCAAGGAAGCACTAGGGCAGGGGGATTTGCGAGAATCATTTCTCGTTCATATGCATTTTAAACTAAACTCAGGAATTTGGAAAAAGGCTAAGATAGAATAATTATCATTTTGACTCTACTCTGTACCTTGATAATATCCCTGCAATAATCTGTGGGGGGAAGGAAAACATATCCAATTAGGAAGAGTTAAATGGTTAAGGACACTGAGAACCCACTTACAATCATGATACATTGTTATCTAAATTTTGCTAATGTTGCTGGTCAGGCTTAGGGGATTTGGGAAAAACACAGCATTGATTGATTCAGAGGTTGAAATTGGCAAATAAATGTAGGCTGAGGAAGTGTTAGAATTTACCACTGGGCTTGTAAGAGTATGATTTAAGTATTTGTCCATGGGCAGGGAGGAAAGTGAAGATCGCCAAGAACTGAGAGGTCCTTTCTCTTACAGTGAAGGGAGGCCCTCCTTCCTCTCCAAAGCGAAACTCTCCATTGTGAACAGGATCCCATCTTCTCTTGCCAGCTCAACATTGGCTCCTACGTTTGTTCCTCTCTTCTGCATCATCACTTTCCCCCCCTCTCCATTAGTTCAGCATCCTCAGTATTATACAAAATCTCAGGAATAGCTCTCTCCTTGAAAGAAACAAACAAAAATCCCTTGTTTTCACATCCCTCACTAAGTTACTGACCCATTTCTCTCCTTCAGATTTGAAGGTTTCCGTACCGTTTTTACTTCTACGACTATATTTAAACAAAATAAGTGGTCTTTTAAAATAATACTTTATATAGTCCATGTGCATTTATGGGCAATAAAAATGTTTTCTTTTCTTAAAAGTATGGCGGCTATGGTAATCCAGGCATACTGGCGTGGTTACGTTGTGCGCAAACAGATTCATTTGTCTACAAGGCTAAATACTGCTGCACCAGGACCCCTGACAACCCAGGCAAATTCCTGCATCGAGAATCAACCTATTTCAAGAAAAGTAAAAAGAGAAAATACTGTAAATATCCAAGAACAGAGAGAGAAGGCTGCTATTCTTATTCAGGTTAGTTTTCATCTTTTGGTGAAATAGACATGAGAGATGTGTTAGTTGTATTTCACTGGGTTATTCTGTATAGCACACAACCCCCGAATATCAGTGATTTACAAATATATGGGTTTATGTCTTTCTCATGTGACATGTAGGCTACAGGTTGGCTGAAGGTTGCCTGCAGGTTGGCTGTGCCTCTGCTTAGTGTCTAGGCTGAAGGAATAGCCTGCAATTTGGAAATACTGTTCTCATGACTGAGGCCCAAGCTGAACCACGTAATCATATTTAAAACTTCTGCTCAGATGTGTCATTTGTCACAGCTGCTAACATTTGATTAGCCAAAGCAGGTCTCATTTGGCCTAATCTAAAACTATTTCTAGAAGCATATTTAAAAATCTGCTAAAATAATTATTGAAGTCCTTCAAATACCCATATAACTTAAAAATTCCAAAAGCAAGTAGTGATAGATTTGATTTACCCTCACCAAGACCAGAGTTTGAAATAAAGTTTAACCTGATCACATTCATCCCTTTATTTATTCACTCATTAAATATTTTTATAAATATTTTTTTGAACAGCAAATGTTCTTTAGAATATTTTTTAGTGCTACTTGTCAAGCACTGTTCTAGGCTCAAGAAATGTAAACAAACAAAACATAAGCAATCCCTGCTCTCATGGAGTTTACATCCTGGTGGAAGAGGCAAACATAGACTAAATAAATACATAAAATGAGGTCTGTGGAAATTCACAGAACTGTGCCTGAATTGAATGATGGTAACTAAACAGAAATTGTGTTTCCATTTCTTTATTCATTCAGCAAATATTTCTTGGCACGAAAATCTCACTAGCTTACATTCTGTTAGGATGTGCAGTTAATAAATAAGTTAAATAAGTATGTTAGATAATAATAAGTACTAAGGGGAAAAAATAAAGCAGGAAAAGTGGGATAGGTGTACCAAAGGAAGGTTTATTGTTTTAGACAGGATGCATATGGAAAACCAGAAAAGGAAACATTGCAGTGCGAGATTAAGCCATTGGAAATCTAGAGGAAGAATATTCCAGGCAGAGGAATATCAGATTCAAAGGCACTGATTTAGGAGCATACCCACTGTGTTTACAGAGTGACAACAAGCCAGTGTGACTGGAGAGTGATAAAGGGGAGAAGAGTAGGACTTATGACTGATAAGTCATTGTAAAGACTTTGGCTTTTACTCTGAATGATGTGGAGAGATATTACAGAAATCTGAGCAGTGGACTCACATGATCAAGCTTATTTTATGTTGGGATTATACCACAGGAAGGTAGGAGTAGAAACAGCAAAATCCGCTGGGAGGCTATTGCAGTAATCCAGACGAGAGATAATGGTAGCATGGACTGGAGTGATGCAGTGAGAACTGGTAAGAAAATCACATCCCAGAGTATATGTTGATTTATCTTGAGGGTATGCATATATACTTTGAAGAGAGAGCTGGTAGTATTAGTCCATGAGGATGTGGTATATGAGAGAGTGAGAAGAGTCAGGGATGCCTCCAAAGTATTAGCATAAGCAACTGGAAGAATAGCTTTAAAATTAAGTTGCTAGCTTTTGCTATTAAAGCCATAGTTTTCAAGAGAATTATCTTTGCTATGGTTCTAATGAATATAGTTAGTATTTCTGTTGACTTAATTTGTATGGACTGTACTCCTAAGGGCAATGCATAGACAAAGCTGTTACTGATGCCTGAATAGTGGTGGGAGTTGGGGGAGGGCAATGGGTTCAAGGAAACTCCAAGGAAAAGAAAGAAACCTCAGTTACCATCTCAAAATAGTATTCTGCTACATGAGGAATGAATATGTTATAAAGTCTAAATTCCCTTCTGTCATCAGTGGATGAGCGATTCATTTTTCAGCATTGATGGCAAATGGATATTAAACTTTTGCTTCATTCCATTCAATAAAGAGAACTTCATTACCTGTGAAACAGTCTACTTCAGTGACTGATATCTCTGCTGAATGTCTTTTTGTTGAGCTTCTTTGTATCTGTTAACAAAAGTAAGCATAATCCAGCCTTTCTTTGCAATTTAGAGCAAGTCTGTTTTGTTGTACGTCATGGTAACTTAAAATCATTGAAGTCAACTCAACTTCATTTTCTCTTCTTCTGAATACAATCATCTAGTTTCTTAAACTGTTTAAAGTATGAATTCTAGACTGCCTAATCATCCTGGAGAGCAGAGCATGATATAGTAGAAAGAACCTGGGCTTTAGAAAGAACAAAATGAAGATTTCATGAAGGATGTGGTAGAGACTTCTCTCTGCTCACCAAACCCACATCCTCCTTTTCCTAGCATACAACCAGACTGTATATCCCAGCTTCCCTTGTGCTTCTGTGTGACCTTTTTTCTGAGTTTTAGTCAATAGAATGTGAGTGAAAGATATAGGCACCACTTCCATGTTTGGCCCATAAAACCTTCCACAGACATTCCTTCATATTCTTCTCCCTTTCTGGTTGGCTGAAATGAAGATAGCTTCTGAGGTATCCTTGGAAGCTGTTGGGATTGCAGAGTCTGCAAAGCCTGGATACGTGAATCACCTTATGTTAAAGTGCTGCGCCATTGTCCTGTTTACTCTCTCAATATTCATTATGTGATCAAGAAATAAACTGTTTTTGAGTTATATGTTTTTAATATTTTTGTTATACTACTTAGCTTACTCTAACTAATACAAAGGATGTAATGTACACCTTGAGAAATAGATAAGGCTCAATGCAAATATGTAAGAGAATGGAATTCCAGCTATAAAGGATAGTGGAAGTAAAAGAATGCAGGATTTCATATTATTGGAATAATAATAAGTTATAGTGCAACTAGAGTATCATAAGAGCTAGAATATTAAGAGGAACATGGTCAGAGATGTGTGAAGGATTTTAACAAGGAGTAAGTGTATACATAGTATGTCCCGGGGGTGGGAGTTGATGGTAGTTGGAGAAGAACAAGATATCAGATATGTCTAATACACATAGAATTGTCTAGCCAAGAAATTGATTTGAATGTGTGAGAAAGAAAGATGAATTAATCATTGATGGATGACTGGCAGAAAAATTGAAACCTTGACAGAAATAAGTTATAAGGAGAATCTGAACATTACTTATTACACATTTATATTACTGTTATTTCTCATAAACTGAATAGAGATGGCTGGGACTTGAATTCCTGACCCTAGACAGATTCGTGAGGGAGGTATCTGTATGTGTCACACCAGAAAAATACATACTATCTGACAGTCTAGAGGTTTGTAGAAATCCTATTCATGATGAGTTGGTCTGGATCCATTGTGAACCACCATGAATCAATCCTTTTGCTCTTGTCATTGAAGGCCTGGATTAAAGATTTCCCTTTATGCTCTCTTTTCCCTAGGTCTGCACCTAATCTTAATACCTTATCATTATTAGGTATAAGAAAAAGGATAGGGAGGGGTAAGTGAAGAAGAGAAGATGACCTAACAAAAAAAAAGAATCAAGGGAAAGATAGCTTGTCTCCCTAATGCTTGGAATCTTTCCAGGACAGGGTCAGGGAAGAAGGGATGTGAAGGGTACCTCCCTAGGAGTAAGAAGTCACAGACCCATTTACCATGTTAGAGAGAAAGGATTTTGAAAGATAGCAAGGAACCAGAGAGCATAAATGCCAGATAAAGGAATCCCAAATAAGAGGAATTTTTAAAAATCTCAAAATGAAAGGTGCTATAAATTGAACGTATTTATGTCCTCCACAAAATTCATATATTGAAACTTAATTCCCGAGTGAAAGTATTTGGATGTGGGGCATTTGGGAGGAGAATATGTCATGAAGGTGGAGCCGCCGTGAATGGAATTAGTGCCCTTATAAAAGAGATCCCGGAGAGCTCTCTAGTCCCTTCTGCCATGTGAGGACACAGTGAGAACATGGCCATCTATGAACCAGGAAGCTTGCTCTTACCAGACACCAAATCTGTCAGTGCCTTGATCTTAGACTCCATAGCCTCCTCTAGAACTGAGAGACATAAATCGTTGTTGTTTAAGCCATCAAGTCCATGGTATATTTGTTATTGCAGCCAAAACGGACTAAGACAAAAGGGGGAAGAGAAAAATAGTATGTTTCCCTCTAAAGTAGCTTGTATATGCCAGTCACCGACAGCACAGGAAATGCCCAGGTCTGCAATAACAACACAACTACATGAGACTAATAAAGATCATAAAGAGCTGATGGTATTCTCCATAATGGATAAGTTAAAAAGAGGAAGGCCACTTTCTCAAGCAATGTTTTCAGTCATGTTACTCATCACACAAAGATGTCCTCTCTTTTGTTTCTGCCGTTTAATACTCTTCAAGTTCTTAACTCATATTGACATCCTTTCTCCTCAGATTAGGAGAAACTTGAACTCTCTTGAGAAGTTATAATCTATTCATATCATTACAAAATAGTGGAATATTGTTTTTATACTGAAATTCATTTTTATAGGCAAAAATGATTAAAATTTTGTCAATAGTAGTTTTTGAATTTTATGTGATGTTTAATATCACAATTTTCTTATTTGATAAACTAAGTAGAATTATGAAAAATAAGGAGGCAAGGAAGTTGGGGAAATAATATTTAATGAATGCTTAGTATGTGACAATTATGTGTACATCACTGCATATAAATTTTCTAATTTAATCTGTTTAACAATCCTATATGATTTTTATGTTTTTCATTTTGCAGATGATTTTAAACTTGATTTAAAGTGTTGATAACAATTAGAATTTGAATTAGAAATTTGTAGGTTAGATAAAAGATACGTTAGCGAAAAGTAGAAAATCATAGTGTAGGCAATAAATAGATGAGAGACTATAGCTTAACCAGGCCTGCCAAACATACTACATACTTTTCTGAAAAAGAGACCTCAATATGTAAATGGAATCTGAAGTGTGCCACATGTGTAAACGCAAAAGACATTGTAATGCTTCTGAGGGAATGACAATGTCCTAACATATCCTCTACCTCTTTTGTGAGGTTGTCTTGGTGGAAGCTAAAAAAGAGCCTGTTGAGATAGATGGTGAGGTTTGATCGACACAAGTTGCTTCCATGTGGAAAGAGTGGGACTAGGGGTGGGAGGAGTAGAACACAGAGAATATTTGTGAAGGATGTATCTCAGAGTTGAGAAGAAAAATTGAATTTTATGTGAAAAATGTTGGATGAGTGGAGGAGTACAGTTATGGGGATCTTGCCCCTTCACTAATGCCATCCTCACCCAGAAATTAGAGTAGAGGACTGTTACCTATTCCTGGAGGTCTGGGTTTCTCACAGGTTTTAGGAAAAAGGAAGGGAACATTGAAAGGCTCAAGTGTTTAGCACAGGGATGGGAAGAGAAAGTCTCCAGTATACTACCTCAGAGAAAGGAGGCTATGAGCATGATGGAGAACTGGATTTGCCACTTCTGAAAAGCCAGTAGCTCTGGGTATAGTAATGACACTGTGAGGCATTGTATTTCTGTCTGTATCAGCCTCTTCCAACTCCTGCTAAGGACCACAGGCCCAAGAATGTTGACAGCAGTAGCAGCTATAGCATAGCTTTTGTCTTATCTGAGTAGAGCAAGGCCAGCTGGTCATAGAGTCAGAGTGTAAGAATGCATGGAAGACAGCAGTTGTGGGACCCTAGAGAAATCTCCCTGTCCTGATTTTAAGCCAGAGAACAGATATAAGGAACAACATTCAGACTATTAATTTTGCATGCTGATAGTATCCTTAGGTTAGTGGCCCATGGATCCATTATGTATATATATATTCAAATGTTAACTACACAATGAGGGGTTCCCCTGCTGCCCTATTTAAAATAGCAATCCCTTCCCAATGCTCCCCATCTCCTGTCACTGATTGATTTTTGTCCGTAGCATTTATTTAGCATTGGATATAGTTTCCTTATTTACTTTGTTTTTGGTTCTTACCCCCATTAGAATGGAAAGTTCATATATAGAGATTTTTGTCTATGTTTTATTCACTGCTCTATCATCAGTGAATGGCATATAATAGACTCTCAGTGAATTTCAAAATCTATTCTACTAATTAACTGTCCCTGATTTGTATTTGATGGGCTGCATGGCAGAATACTGTTTCTTTATGTTTCCATCGAAAATAGTGATCATATCCATGATTATTGGAAATTACAGATTATAACCAGTAAAAGAAGCCTGACGGTTCACCTAATTTTAAAATCTTGATTTCTGATTTCACATAATTATATTGATTGTAAGAAAAAAGAAAACTGCACCATCTATAAGTCTCTTAATATTTTATTAAGGATCATTTCAACATATAGAAGAGCTTCAAGTACCCGTATACTAAACTTACACCAAACTTCAACATGAGTTGAACTACTGGCCAGTAGTGATCTTCTATAACGAACCCATGTCTCCTTCCTCATCGCTAGATCATATGAAACAAATTCCAGATAGCTTATCATTTCTTTTGTAAATATTGCAGTATGAATTTCTATAAGACGTTATTTTAAACGTAACCGCAATGTAATACCAACCTAAAAACTGACAGTTATTTTTCAATATCACCAAGTATCAAATCAATGTTGAAATTTCTCTGTTTTATAAATGTGTGTTTACAGGTTTTTCTTAATCAAAATACAAACAAGGTCATCACTTTGCCTTTGGTTTATATGTTACTTAAGTCTTTTAATATGTAGTAACTACCTCTCTTCTTTTTCTTGTAATTTATTTATTGAAGAAACCAGGTCTTTTCTCCTATAAATTTTCTACCTTCTGAATTTTCCAAAAGCATCCCCATGACGTCATTTAACATGTTTCTCATACCCGCATTTTCTGTGAACTGACAGTAAGATCTAACATTTGATATGATTTGGGTTTGGTTTTTTGTCAAGAATACTTCAGAGGTGATGGTATGTATTACAGTGAGGAGGTACATAATGTCTGGTTGCCTTTTGGGAATATTAGTGGCCATTGATAGCACTGTCAAATCAATTTTTTTATTAATGGTTTGCAACATATTGATACTGTCTATATTATTTCCTCCTCATTTGTTAACTAAAATATGCCTATAAAGAGAAACTGTGTCTAATCAACTATTTAGTTACCCTGAGGTGTAGTTCGTACTGGAAAGCCAGGTTAAATGCTTGATGCTTTCCTTTTATTTACCAACTTTTAGATTAATGTGGTTTCCTAGTATCCTCCAGAGGTCACCATAACGTGTTCTATCATAATGTATACATAAATTTTTAAAATATATGATGTGTTTAATTCTATTACAGTTATTATTCTTATTTATGCCCAAATTGTCCATTATTTGGCCAACTGTAACCTCTTCAAGTTAGCTTTTTTGACACGATTCAGTAGTCTTTAAAGCTTGCCTTGCTTTCTAATGTGACTTGATATTCCAGGTTCATTTTGTGTACATTTTGCCCCAGGTCCAGATTCAGTCATTTCTCCAAAGATCCTGGGTTCCTTCAGTGGGAATAATATTTAGAGACCTCACTCTGGATTTTGGGATGCTTTAGGATTTAAGAGTGCTTGTTGCTACTGGTGGGGTCATTGTTTTTAGAATGTTTTTAATGTACTAAGCTTGCAAATACATTTTTTTTTGTAAGGAAGATTGGCCCTGAGCTAACATCTGTTGCTAATCTTCCTCTTTTTGCTTGAGTAAGATTGTTGCCGATCTATCATCTGTGCCAATCTTCCTCTACTTTATGTGGGATGCCACCACATCGTGGCTTGATGAGCAGTGCTAGGACCACGCCTGAGACCCAAACTCACAAACCCTAGGCCGCCGAAGTGGAGTGCACAAACTTAATCACCACACCACTGGGCCAGCCTCAAAAATATATATTTTTAAGAAAAAAATATACCATGGGTTCATACTGATATTTTAAAATTAAATTTAGCACTAAAGGATTTTTACTTATTTGATTTTATATTTGTATCTCTTTTATACAAAATCCTGGTTCCTGATGACATTAAAATAATTTGCTCTTTTTCTTCTCTCTCTCACTCCCCCTCCTGTGTGTGTGTGTGTGTGTGTGTGTGCACAGGCACATACATAGTGGAACTAAACAATGACCACACAAATAAGAAAAAACAGGCTATTTATTCAGAGCATGCTATAGCAAGGGAGTCAGTCACCACTGCTTGCCTTTGGTATAGACTCAAAGGCAGAGAAGAGAGTGGAAAGTGTTTATAGTGGAAAAAAAAGAGAAAAGGCTTCAGGTATGCTCTAATTGGACGTTATTGGCATGGGAAGATCAGAGGCAGACAACTAGAAGAGGGCATCTTATGCGATTGGTTTAGGAAGCATATTTGGTTATCTCTGGTTGGTTCTGAGTTAGAAGTAGGGACGAAAAGTAGGAAAGCCCGCAGTCGTTGGCCAACTATTAACTATTCTTGGCTAATTGCCAAGAGGTTGCAGCAGTCATGGTTTGGCTTCCTAGGCTGGTTGCTGTAGAAGTTGTGGTGACTTATATTGTCATTTATGGTCTGGCCATTTTTTGTATATTCCACTTCTCAATATATATATCTTTCTGAGTAACAATACCAATTTTATTACCAAGAATATGATTCCTGAAAACATATTTAAGGTATCTTTTGGAGTTAAATTTGTCTTTTGAGTGCATTTCACTAGGGATATAGTGAAATAAATCTATTTTAAAATCACTTTAAATAACTTCTGTGTGGTTATGCCCACAGCATGAAACACATTTTTATATTTTTTCAGGAATTTCTTTTTATTTCATATTTATTTGTTTTACAATTATCTTAAGCACGTGCATGATTCCAAAGTCAAATCGAGTAAGGTATATTCAGAGAAGTCTAGCTTCTACTGCTGTAACTTCCACCATGTTTTCTGCCTCTATAGGTAACAATTTTTAAAATTAATTTTATGATTTGTACTATCACTTTTTAAATATTAGCACAACATATACATATATTTAATATATGTTTATAAAAATTATATGTTTATTTTATATATATATATATATATATATATATATATATATATATATATATACAATCTTTCATAGATAAATGGCAGCATGCAGTAGACACTTATTTCTACCTTGTTTTTTACACTTACTATATGCTGGAGCTCACTCCTCAGCAGTATATAAAGAGACTGATTTTTTAAAAAGTGCAGTGTTCTGGAAGTTTTAATTAGGAAGGGTTTCCCCACTCCAAGATTATTGAGGAATCTGAATGTTTTTACTTCTATTATTCGGTGCTTATTTTAAAATGAAGTTAGTTCATTGTCATGGGCCATGATACTCCCTCTCTAATATGGCCATTTGTATATGTTGAAGTTTTCCTAAATGTGTGTTAGTTTATTTTATACATAATCATTTGAAAATTAGCAAAATTGGTTTTCCTTTATATCCCTTTCTTCTTAGTTTAGAATGAGTCCTGGAGGAATAGTTGGATAATTGATTGGTTGACCTACATGTGCAGCTGGGGAGTTTTAAAGATTCTTTTTTGCTTACCATGAGGAATGTCTCCTGAGATTCAGGACTTTAGACACAAGCTGTCGTTTAATTTATCTTGCAGTTTTAAGTGTCACATAAAGTTCAAAAAACAGATTATTGAGCCATTAAACTAAGGTCTAAGATGTTTTATCTTCCTAATGGGAGAACACAGAGAATCTGGTCTGGAGTTTGATCTATAACCTTGTATAACATGCTTTCCATGTTTGTTTAGGCAGTTTGCAAAGGCTTTCTTTTGCGAAAGAAACTGACGACAGCTCTGGAGGCTATTAAGAATGAAGAATCTGAAGAAGAGTATGAAGAAATAGATTTAGAAGATTTTACATTTAATGAAGTAAGTACCAACTACAACATATAAATATATACAACATAGAATATTGGCCTTAAAATATTTTTAGTATATTATTTTGGAGCTACACCAGTTTCTAAGGTTTTTGTCCTCTCAACAGATTTTTTTCAAATAACACTTGAAAAAGTGTGCTTCTGATTTCTTGACATCTTCTTCATTTACGCTACAAGTTTGTACAGTGTGTAAACGTGGTCATAGAATATTTACAAGAGTTCCTGTGTACCCTTCAACCAGATTTACACAATGTTTCATCAATTATTCTTCATTAAATCCAACTCTGAGCTTGTTTATGCCCTGACAACATAAGCCTTAAGTAGTTCTTTGTTGCCTAGCAAAATGAGAAAACCTCCTTAAATTGTTATTCAAGTTATTATCCACAATAAGGTAGCAAACTTATCCGCTTACACACATATCCACTACTTCTCTCCTGTGGCTCTAACCAAATTGAACACCCTTTTACTGTACAGAACACTTGCCTTTTACATCTTTAGATTTGCTCATTCTGTTCCCTCTTCTCTAGACAGTTACACCCACATAACCATCTCTCAGCTTAAAATATAGAACATATTAACATCCCCAAAGACTTCCTCATGCCTCCATAGTATTCATAACACCATCATAATGGAGTAGTTTTGCCTATTTTTGAACTTCCTATAGGTGGAATCGTACAGTATATACTCTTCTTTCACATAGTATTTTGTTTGTGAGATTTATCTGTGGTGAGTGTAGCTGTATATATATCACTCCTTTAAATATACCACTTTTTATCTATTACCTGAATATACCACTTTTTAAAAGTCTGTTCAACTATTGGTAGATTACTTATTGTTGAGTTATTTCTAGTATTGCCCCTTATGACTAAAGATGCTGTGAACTTTCTTGTACATGTCTAATGATGTGCATATTCGCATTTCTTTTGGGAATAGAATTTCTGCATCATAATGTGTACCAATGTTTAGTAGATAGTGTCAAATGATATTCCAAAGTGATTGTATCAATTTACAGCAGAATATGAGAGTTTCAGATGCGCTCTATCCTCACCAACACTTTGTATTTTCATGCCCTTTTCCCCTATTCCAGTAGGTTTGTGGTGGTATCATATAGTTGTTTTAACTGGCATTTCTCTCATAACTAGTGAGGTTGAATACCTTTACATACACTTACTGGTCATTTAGATATCCACTTTTGTGACATGAGCCAGTGCTTGTGTAATTTTCAGTTGAGTTGTTCATCTTTTTTCTTAATGATTTTGTAGAAGTTCTTTATATATTCTAAGTACTACTCTGTTTTCCTTTGCAAATATCCTCTCTAAATTCTGGGGCTTTTCAATCTCTCTATGGTTTATTTTGATGAACAGAATGTTTCTAATTTTAAATTAAAAACAAAAGTTTTTAATTGTTGTGACATATAAGGAATCTTTGCTTACTCCTAGGTCATTAAGATATCCTAGAAACTTTATGATATTAGCTTTCAGCATTTAAGTTTATGGTGCATCTGAAATTAATTTTTGTGTGTAGTGTGAGGAAGAGGTCAAGTTCCCCTCCACACACACATTTGGTTATCTTATAGACCCAATACCATTTGTTGTACAGACCATACTTTTCACAATGGATTGCAGTGGAAGCTTTGTTTAAATCAGGTAACTCTGTGCAAGAGTTATCTTAATTTTTCTCATTGGTGTCTTGTTTATCTTTACATCATTACTTTAATTACTGTTTGATTTATGATGTTTTGATATCTAGTCTTATAGGAGCTCCAACTTCATCTTCCTCTTTAGGGAAGAATTATTACTGCTACTGTTGACCCTTTTTGTTTCTGTATGAATTTAGAATGACCCTGTCAATTTGCACAGTAAGTGTTAGGATTATGTCTGAGATTGCAGCGAATCTATAAATGAGTTTGGGAGAACAGTTATTTTTAGAACATTACATTTTCAATCCATGAACATAGAATATCCCACCATTTATTTAAGCCATTTAAAATTTCTGTCCACAATACTCTGTAGTTTTCTTCATAGTGATCTTGTACATTTTTGGTTAGATTTATTCCTATGTATATGATGTTTTCTGATATTATATTTATTTTTGTATATTGACCTTTTATTCAACTACTTTGTTGAAATCACTTATTAATTTTGGTAGGTTGTCTCTCAAGTCTTTTGGATATTCTGTATACACAATCATGTCATCTGAGAACAATGACAGTTTTATTTCTCTTTTTGCAATTCTTATGCCTCATATTTATTTTTCTTGCCTTATTGTCCTGATTACTACTTCCATAAAATATTGTATAGTGGTGATATTAGCAGACATCTTTTCCTAGCTCCTGGTCTCAGAGTGAAATCTTTCAATATTCCTCCACTAAGTTAGTTGTTTAATATAGGTTTCTTATAGAAACTCTATATTTGATTAAGGAAATTATCTTCCTTAGCTTCTTCTTACAACTTTCCAAGAGGTTAATGTGATGAGGAGGAAGATTATAGCTATGATTTGGATTTTATCAAATACTTTTTATATATATAACAATCATTGGTTTTCAAACATTAAACCTATATTCCTAGAATAAACCGACTTAGCTGTAATGTATTTTTTTAATATACCTCTGAATTTGACTTGCTAACATTTTGTTTAGGATTTTTGCATTTATATTCAAGAAGAAGTTGGGCCTGTAAATTTTTCTTCTTGTAAAACTCTCTCCGGATTTTGGTATCAAGGTTATGTTGGCCTTATACTTTTGGTTGGGAAATATTTCCTCTGTTTCTGTTTTCTAGAAGAGTTCAATGTAAGATTGATGTTATTTGTTTCTTAAAAATTTGTCTCAGCACGTAATCAATTTGGGGAAATGTTCCATGTGCACTTGAAAGGAATGTGCATTCTGCAGATGTTAAGTATATTGTTACTAAAATCTCAATTACTTCATATTATTAATTGTATTTTTCAAGATCTTCTGTATCTTTAGTAATTTGGGGGCGATTTCTATCAGTTATTCACAGAAGAATGCTGAAATCTCTTTCTATCATTGTCAGGTTCTCTAAATCAGTTTTTAGTTCTGTCGAATTTTGCCTCATACTTTAGAGCTTACACAGTTAGGATAGTTAAATCATTGTATTATTGACCCTTTTATCATGTGAAATTTCCCTCTTTAATTTTAGTTTTCCTCTTTAATTAGTTGCCTTAACAGCTCCTTCCTCTGATATTTTCATACCTGCAACAACTTTCTTTTGGCTGTTAATTTCATAATATATATTTTCCTAACCAATCCCATTCAATATTTCTGTGCTTTTATAATTAAAGTGAAACTCTTATAAGAGTATATAGTTGAGTTTTGCTTACTTTTACATTCCATTCTGCATTATATTTCTTTTTACTGATGTATTCAGACTATTTCAATTAAGAGTATAATTAGGTTTATATATACCATATTTCTATTTGTCCTAACTGTTCTGTGTTTCTTTTTTGTTTCTTCACTGCCTTATTTTGCATTAATCAGGTATTTTTGTTTTTCCCTTTTTCCCCCTCATTAGCTTGTTAGTTTGTGGTTACCTTCTTCCATGCATTCATTCCTTCCTGTATTAACATGCTTCCATATGGGATCATTTTCTTTTGTCTGAAAGACTTTCTTTAGTAATTATTTTAGTCCAGATCAGTTTTCGATTGCTTGAAAATTTATTTTACTTTAAATTTTGAAGGATATCTTCTCTAGGTATAGAATTCTGGCTTTTGATGTTTAAAGATGCCATTTTGTTAGTTTCTGCCTTCTGTAGATTCTTTGAAAAGTCAGTAATGTCTTATTTTTCTCTTCTCTGAAGATATTGCCCTCCTACCAACATACCTTAGACTACTTTGTGTGTGTGTGTGTGTGTGTGTGTGTGTGTGTGTGTGTGAGAGAGAGAGAGAGAGAGAGAGAGAGAGAGAGAGAGAGAGGAAGATTGTCCCTAAGCTAACATCTGTGCCAATCTTCCTCTATTTTATGTGGGATGCTGCCACAGCATGACTTGATGAGTGGTGTGTAGGTCTGTGCCAGGTATTCAAATCTTCGAACCCTAGGCTGCCAAAGCAGAGCCTGTGAACTTAACCACTATGCCACTGGGCAGGCCCCCTATCTTTTGAATTCTTAATTTCAGTTATTCCATTTTTTAGTTCCGGAATTTCTAGTTGATTATTTATTGTAAATTCGAGTTATATGTTGAAGTTTTCTATCATTTCCTATATTTTCTTGAACATACAAAGTATGGTATTTTCAAAGCTTTCTCAGTTAACTGTAAGATATGGATCGCTTGTAGGTTTATTTCCATTGACTGTTTCTTATATTTTGAGTCAGTTGATTCTCTTTCTTAGCATTTAATCTTTGATTAAGTGTTAGACATATGTGGAAAAATTTTAAGGCCCTGGAATATGTTTTCTTTCTCTAAAGAGGATTTAATTTTATTCTGTGAGGCAGATATTGTATAGGCAGAGATCCTTTTCAGGCTTATTTTCAAGCTGGTCTATTTCTGATTTCTCTTAGGGTTGAGCCAATATGGTGTCTTCAACTGAAACTGAGATATTTACTGGGTTACTTTCACCTTGTTTGTCCCTAAATTCTAATCCCTTTCTCCACAGCATCAAGTGACTGAAGAAATTTCTTCTTAGCTTTTTAGCACCCCAGCTGTTGCTATTGCACTTTGAGTCTAGGTCTCTCTCCTACGCACGTACTACCTGGAATTGGCAAACACGTGAAGGGAAATTTTATACATGACTTTGGCACTCACATTTCTGTAGCTCTCTCTTCTCAGGGATCTCGATCCTTCAATCCTAACTAGCTTGGCATTCCTGCACTTCAACCTCTGTCCCTTCATCCCAGTGAAACTGCTACAAGTGGGCCTCAGATTTCTACTTGTCTGCTCTTTCATGTTAATTTTTAAAATTTGGAATTACCCTGAGGGAAAATGCAGAGGCAAATGTAGGGTTCACATCAGCAAAAGACTGTACTCTCTGGGATCTTGG